TCTAGTAAAAAGATTTTATTGGGTAGGAGATCAAATGTTGAAATAATAATTTCAGCACATATACTGAATGTGTAAAAAGAAATTATGTTAATTTATATTATTAAATTATGTAATTAAGATAATTATAAATAATTAAGTTTTAGTTGTTAGCATGTGTGAGCACTAGATCCATGCTGTTTATTTATCTATAATTGTCTCGTTGTCATTTTTTATTTTTGTCATCCCAAAATAAAGTTATCATTTTTTAATTTAGTAATTGTACTATCTACCTAATATAATAAATACATTTTCAACTTACACTATATTACACAATATCTTTACTTTATTTCCACATGTTATAACTATTTAGCCACTAAAATTATGTTATAACTATTTAGCCACTAAAATTAACTTACACTCTCGCCGTCATTCTTAATACTTTTGTATGCTATATTGTGACTGAATGTCTAACTAAATTAGTGACATAATTATTTAGCACAGCATGTAGAAATAAGTCTCCACAAATGACAAATCTTCATCATTTTCGAGTTGAAGTATTTTTTAGTGTAATTGATCTACAATTGCAAGAACTTGAAAATCGATTCAATGAGGTAACCAAAGAATTACTGATGTGTATGTCTTGCTTTCTTCCTTCTAATCGGTTTTCTGCTTTTGATAAAAAGAGATTGCGACGGCTTGCAGAATTTTATCCTATAAATTTTTCAGAAGCAGAATTGATGGTTTTTGAATATTCATTGGATAATTTCATTACTGATATTCGATGTGATGAGAGATTTTGGGATTTGAAGGATTTAAATGAACTTTTCTATGAAACTTGTTGAGACAAAGAAGAATGAAACACATTCAAAGGTCTACTTGCTATTGAAATTAGTGTTGCTTCTTCCTGTAAGCAACTGCAACCGTGGAAAGATCATTTTCAGCGATGACTACCATCAAGAACAAATTACGGAATAGCATGGGAGATCAATTATTGAATAATTGTTTAGTTACTTTTCTAGAAAAAGATGTGTTTACGAAAGTTAGTATCAATGATATTGTCAATTGATACCAAAATATGAGATCTCATCGTGAACAATTGTAGCTATTTTGATGTATTAGTGATTATTAATTTAAAATTTTATACTTTTTAATATAAATTTCTTTTGATGCAATTTATTATTTTTAATTTAAATTAATTATATTAATTATAGACCCACCGAATTTAAAATTTTAAATCCGCCACTGAGCACAGGAAAAATATTTAGATTAAAAATATAAGAGAGAAATTAAAATGAGTTAATTAAATTGATTTGATAAAAGACAAAACAAGTGTGGATAGTGGTTTGCAGACAGGCTTCGTCTCAGTCCTCACACCCATCGATGCCACTCACTGTTTGTCCATACCATTATTAAAACAATAATAAAAAATTGAATAAAATCAATTTAGAAGAGATAGATAGATAGATAGATAGGTAGGAATCGGGATGAATGGTTGAATTTTGCCCATATCTATAATATTAATTTAGATTAATCAGCGTCTAAAAGTTAAATAAAAAATTTAGCACCGAACAAAGAATATTATTTTTTCTCATAATAGTAAAATACTACTATTTCAATCCAAAGTTCATATTATGAAAATTGGAAAAATCAAGATACTGAAAAATATATACAAGAAGACGAAAATTTATTGATCTAATTCGATCATAATGATTTAGACCGCCGAATTGAATATTTTTACTAATATTTTGAAGTATAAATTATAAGAAGAATACGTCAAATATATATATATATATCAAATGTAAAATTCTATTTTCTGTATTAGGTAAAGGGTATCGATTATATAAATAATACTCCCTCCGTAAGAATACATTTATTTTTGACACAAAGTTTAAGAAATAATAATATTTTAATTATAGTGGGTAGATAAAAGTAGTGTAATGATATTTTTTTGCTTACTTTTTGGTATAAAAGTAATGATATGATGTAAAGTAAGGGTATTTGTGGACAAAAGTGGGGTATTTAATGAAATTGTTACATTATAATTGGACGTCCTAAAATAAAAATATGTATACTTTATAACTGGACGGATGGAGTAATTGTTGTTGAAATTTTCATTTTTTATATGTTAAATTGTTCATTTTTGTTTTATTTTATATGTATATATTGATTTTTTTTGTCCGAAAAAATTACTTTAATTTCTTTTAGTCTGTTCAATAACTTTAATTCATTAATAATTTTGGAATTTTCTTTAATAATTATTATTCATTTAAAGTTTATTTATAACAAACATAACTATATTTATTACTCCCTCTGTCTCACATAAAATTTTTATTCTTTTTATTTTCATAGTTATCTTAATATTAATTTATAATTATTTTTATTATATAGTAAATATTTTTATTAATTCGTTTTTTAATTACTTATTAATTATACTATATTTAAATTTCTCGTGTCTACAGTAGAAACTTTTAATTGGACGAAGAAAGTATATAACTTTTTTTTTTCAATTACTAATTAAATTTGTAAAAATACTTCAATCATCTTTTTATTTTTATTATTTTTTAATAAAATATTATTTTTTTATTCTCTCTAACCGATTAAAATATGCTAATTTTAGTGAAAGGAAGAAGTGAGTTTTTGTAGTAATATTATTAGGACGCGTAAGCTTGTTGTTGGATCAATGGAATCTAATTTCTTGGGTGTTTTTGTTGGGGGATTGGATTTTAAATACGCTATTCATCATTTTTTTTTCTAAAAAATATCAAATTATACATATATTTTTTATTTTTTATATTATATTAAAAATCAATTTTACATTTAAAATATCACATCAACACTTATTTATATCACATCGTACAACTATTCGAATTCAAAATTTTTACTATTCAAAAACTCAAAATCCAAACCCCAAACAAACACACAAACAAACATTACATTCTATTAGCATTGAAATACAAATACAAACACAAATCAATGTTTGTTTGTTCATAGTTAGAAGCTTAGATTGACACTTTATTTTCAATATTTTTCATCTCAACTATTTTTGCAATCTTTCTAAATATAGAATCTACTTGTAATATTTTATTATCTCTATTTCTACACTAAATAAATAAATAAATATATTGATACACATTTAAAATTCTCTATGTTATATAAACTATTTCATGTCAATTATTTATATGTATATATATATATATATATTATATTCTTTCAAAATGACATATTTTTTAAGTGTCATTCAAAATATTATTTTACTATTTTCTTATATTTTGTTCAAAAGTATTTTTTTTTTTTTAAAAAAAATATACACTATCAAAATACTATTTAATTTTTATTTAAATTATAAATATGTTATTACACATAATTATTTTATACATAAAGTCAAAAAATAATAATATCAAAATTTCTCACATCCTTTGCTAACTAATATAATATTATTATTTCCTAATTTATTATAAAATTCCAAATCATTTTCACTTGAAAGGGAGGAAGTATGTACTAAAATAAATTTGAGAACATTCAAACTTACAACATACGCATTGTAAATATAGCTGGAATTGTTTGGAAAATATTCACTTAAAAATACTTTGTCCGTCCATCTAAGAAGCAATATTTTGATAAGTGATGCGATGAGAAAAACTAATTATATTTATTTTTTATTTGAGTAAAATAATAAGATAAAATATATTAATTATTTTCTATATTAAAAATATTACAAAGTATATGAGAAAATCAAAATAAAAAATATTACATAATAAGGGAATACAAAATAGTACACTCTCCATTCATTTTCAATATATCAATTTTGTCACTTTAATTTGTCCACCTTTAATGTACTTTTTTAGTAATTATTGCAAAAAGTATTTCTACATTTTATAATACAATATTACCAAAAATGTTATTAAAAAATATAAGCTTAAAGATAAAAATATATTTTTATCATTTATTGTATCATATATAAAATATTAATATTATAAAATTTACGTCAAAAAAAATAAATAGTTATAAAAGTAATTTAGATAAATGTGTATGTAAATTCACCTAAACACAAAAAACGAAACCAAAAAAAGGAAACTCCACGCCTCATATACCGAATTACTTAGAAATAAAAATAATAATAATTTTTTTTTACTATAACTTTTTTTTATTATTATCTTAATATTAATATTGAAATAATAAGGTCTTCATTCATATTCACTGAATTTATTTTATTTTTCATATTCACTTATTTGCAGTCAAGAAAAGACCCTCAAAGTCTTTATTAAATTACCTTTATTAATCTCTTCTTTTTATGTTGACGTGCTCATGAACAGTTTCCACCTTTCCAGGAATATTTTTTTTAAAAAAAATTCCTTTGCTGCTACTACATCTTCATCTTCATCTTCATCCTGGATCCTTCCTTCACCACATATTTCTATTTATTATTAAACAACAATTCTCGATGACACCTTCATTTAGCCATTGTCCATTGACCAATCAATCATCCACCAATTAATAATAATTAATTCATATTAAAATCCAAAAACCCAGTCTTTGTCTCTTCTCTGCACACAAACAAACAAAACAACAAACCCACACAAGGCCTCCATTTTTACTGGCAGCTCTATTTCTCATAAAAGAAGTAACAAAATAAACAAATACTATATTAGAAATTAGAATACATACATACAGATGTTGAAGATATCCCCTACAATGGTAATAATAATAACAAGCTGGATGAAGTATTAGCTTGGATTGTAAAAGACATAAAGTGGGTTTGCTTTTCCAAAGGAATAATATTTGTTAATAAATATGTACACAGCATTGAGAAAGTTTTTGAAACCCTAATTAGATTTCGCCATTGTTGGGAGTTTTTATTTAATTAATATACATACATTAAATTCCACGAGAGTTGAAGTGGGGGGGGCAGGAATCCTGGCTGGATATAAGTCGCAAATTCCCACAAAAAAAAGAAAAGAAAAGATTATTGTGTCACTACTAATTAATGAGCAAGAAATTAATTAATTAAAAGGCAGCTGGCATTAATTAAAGATAAAAAGAAACCTTAGAGAAATAAGAAATTGGTTTTTGTACAATGGCTGCTGCTGATGCTGCTGTCTGTCATCATTTTACCAGGTAAAACAACAATGTAGAAAGAAATAAATAAAAAAAAAAAAGAAGCATTAATCAACAATGATTGGTTAATTAACCTAAGTAGTGGGAAATTAAGTGTGGGCACTAATTAAAATGATCACAGAACCACTTAATAATTCTTTTTCCAGTTCTTGCTCTTACTAAAGCATTACCTTTTTCATGGATCAATATCAAGATCAAGATCAAAATCGATATCAATGATCAATCGGCATTGCTCCATTGCTTGAGGCCTGGAGAAGTCCATTTGGGGCACTTAGGGCTGTAATAATTGGACACAACCCTGGAATTGAGTAGCTCCACGATGGGCGTGAATTTCACGCACCTTGGCGTCTTGTACTGGTTGATCGACGCCCCCAGGCTGATTGCGTAATCCATGAGCTTATCGAACGTTCCGGTTTCCACAATCTTGATCTCCAACGGTCCGATGGCGTCGTGAACCCGATTCTGTCTGTACACATTGTCCAGAGAGTCTTCCGCCGTCAGGCAGCAGTCTTCGAACACTGACGGCGGGATTTGGGTCGACCCGGTCTGGCTCAGCTCCCAGTACAGCACGTAGTGCCCCGGAATCGTGCTCGTGTCGGCGTAGCTCGTGTACTCCGTCAGACGGGCCTCGAACGGCACCAGATGGCTGACGGCGTTTCTAACGGCCGTTTGGAGCTCCACCTCGTCCGTCTTGTCGGTGTCGATGCTCAGGACCACGTTTTTCCGGCACACGAAGTTGAATTGCGGCGCATTGTTTTTGAATCCGGCGACCCGGAGCACGTCGCCGACTCTGTACCGGTAGAGCCCTGGAAACAAATTAAATCAAAATTTAATAATAATAACAACAATAATAATAGTAAACTTAATTAATTGATTGATTCAAATTGATGTGATTACCGGCGTAAGTGGTGACGACGAGTTCGTACTCCTGTCCGAGTTTGACATCGACGAGGTCAACGAGGTCCTGGAGCTCGGAGTTCGTGAGGCCGTTGTTTCTGTGAACGGGCAAGAACTCGTAATAACACATGGTGGGAATGAGGGTATAGGCGACTTCGTGGGGTTTGCAGAGGGGGTTGAGGTTGACTCCGAAATAACACTCGGAAGAGGCATACATTGTGCAGACAAGAGGGAGGCCATTGCTGTAATAATCAAGAGTAGGGATGTACTGCGACATGGTCCCAGTCACTATAACATCGATGTACTTGGTGTTAGGCCAGACCCGGGTTATAATCCCCTCCCAAGAATCCTTCCCGCATTCGGACTCAATCAAATCCGCCAGCTCCGGGTCGGGTCGGAGGGTCCGCATGACCGCCTCCCTCACGGACGGGTCGGTTATAAGTGGGTTCACAGTGCCGGTTCTGATGTCCTGGCTCAGAAGGGTCCAGTGCTTCTCCAAGAACCGGATGGCCCGAATAAACCCGGACGCGAAAACCGCCCCGACCCGGAGGACTTGGCGGTTCTGGGAAAGGCCACAGAGCATTTGGGAGTACATGCTTTGGTAGGAGTCCGGGCAGAGAATGGTCTCGTTTGGGGAGGTGTAGTTGGTGTAGGGATCGAATGGCCTGTCTTTGAAATGGGGGCTTTTGTAGTAACTTGTTAGGACAGGGCGAGCCAGAAGGCCCCCGGGGGTCTTGGTCTCGCATTTTATGAAGAGGAAATACATGCCTTTGCCTTGGTCCAAACCGGGCACGAATTGGGTCATCACGGGCATCAGCAGGCTGTACAAAAGTGACCTTCTTTCCAGTTCTTCTTCGATTGTGGGCATCACCTTCCTCTCTCCAGCAGATGTCCCAGAACTATATATATATATATATATATATATAAAGATATACCACTTTTTATTATTACCCTTTTTGACAGAAGCCCCACATGCAATTAAGAATGGTGGTAAGAAATATATCCGATTATTTACTAGAGGGATGAGAGAGAGAGACCTTGTGAGGAACTCGGAGATGGGTTGGGAGCAGAGAATTGGAGAGGTGTCGCCATTGGCGATGCGGTTGATGTCGGGGAGGATATCCTCGTAACTTACGACGGGGATGATTTGCTTGAAGGTTTCTCGATCGGTTTTGCCGTGGAGGCCGCCGTATCTCTGCAGGTACTCGACGTTGGCATTTCTGGACAGGATTTCTGCCAGGACACGTTTCTGGACCTCGTCGGCGTTGGTGGTGACTTCCTCGATGAACTCCAGCTTCTTCTTGATATTCTCCTCCACACTCACTTCCGACGACGACATGTGGGCTGCACCTCCCTTTGCCTTTGGTGCCTCAGGCATGACTCACTGATCACTCACTAATATCAAATTCTTTAAAATTACAGGCAACGATATATATATATATATATATATAAGCACCTGCGCAGCAGCAGGATTGATTGATCGATTAGACTGTATGTATGATGCAGCAGCTGGTATCAGAAATAAGAAGAAGAAGACGATGATGATGATGAAGAGGGAGAGGTAGCAGTAGGGTGGGCAGGGTTGGGGTAGGGTGTTGTAGAGGGATGAGGCTGATATATATAAGGGGAATACTGGGGGGTGGGGGGGTGGTGCGGGGAGAGGTCCCTCTTGTAGTATTTTTAAAAGTGCAGTGTAAGGATGGATCATGGAGGGATTGATTGAGAATTGTTCGTGTAAAAATATATTATTATTTTGGAATAAAATAAAATAAAATAAAACAAGCCATTTGAAGAGTCAAATTAATTAATTAAATTGATCGTTGTATAATTTTGTATGATGATTATTATTATTATTGGGCAGTGTCGCTATCTATGTATAATTTATCTCATGGGCGTGACCGGCAGTATCCGGTAATCCAGCAGAGGTGGGTGAGAACACATTACATGCGCGCTTGTACCGCGGCCGTTTGACCGCGCACCGGCGCCTGCTCCTCCGGCTTCGGTTGCCGGTGAAAATGCAACGGGACGGGCTCCGTTATTATTAATCTACTATAAAGGCCACCGTTTTGACCGTACGGTACGCGACAGCTGGCCGCCAAATGGCCTTTGCTTGACACGTAATTATCGCCCACTAATTAATGTCTACTGTTTTTACCAGTTGGATTAAATTTAAAAAATTAAATTAAATATATCCAAGTGTGTGATGATGACGATTTTGCGACATATATAGGACACACACACACAGTTTTCAGTTTACTGAAACCAAAGAATAAAGTTAAATTAAATAAAAAAAATTATTATGTAAGATAATAATGAATTAATTTTGAATTATTGAATTAAATGCATTTGCATTTGCATAATTTTGGATTATGAATTGTGGTCATAAATGAAGCTAGATTTCGTGGTGTCTGTCCGGACACCATAATTAAATGATTGAGCTTACATTTACTACATATTTATTCATTATGCTTACCATGTTTTTGGCAGCTACGACCCTTCTTATATGATTATTACTTATTTTGATGATTTCTAATTGCATTTATACCTTGCATTATCTTCCTTTAATTAAATGTTAAATTAAATAATATCAAAACTAATAAATTTCATGGTTTTATTACATGTGAAAGATAATTAAGACTTTCAAGATATTTGATATTTTGTAAAAAAAATATATATAAATTTTATAAAACTAGTAAGGATTAGATAGTACAAAAGAAAGTGAAAAATATTAAAGAGAACAAAACATGTCTTCGGTAAATATGCATTCTCATTAGTTACTTAAGTGGTTATATATATATATAGCTACCGTTACAATATTGACAACACATTAAATAAAGAAGAAAAATATAAATGAAATTTATGACAATAATTCGCACAATATATACTAATTAATATTGATTTCAGCATATAAAATATACAATATGTGTTTATAAATTTGCATTAAGAAAGAATTTGATATTCAACTTAAAATATTTTTTCGAATCTGGAATACTCTTAACATTCCCTTCTCAAGATAATATCATCTCGAAATTTTAAATATAATCAATATCATTACAAGCACCATAACTTTAATACCATATTAAAATTGAAAATCTCAATTTAAAGCTAATTAGTATTGAATAGAGTAATCATTTTCTTGTATAAGCTAAAAGAGTCCCAATAGTTTTTTATTTTTCTCTCAACAATTCGTGCACTTTAAATAGCACAGTCATAATGAGTGATTTCATTGACCAGTCTAAATCATAATTGAAAGAAGATCTATTTTTCTGAGATTTTCAAGATAATTTGTTTTACATAAAAATGTGATATATATATATAATTTAGTAGGCAATTGCAAATAATATTGGATATATTTAAGTGTGTGTGTGTGTGTGTATGTGTCCAAGAAACATGCATGTGTTGAAGTTCATAGAGGAGCCAATGTTGAAAGCGATCTTGTCTTCTTTAATTTAATTTAATTTCCACCATCATCATAATTATTATCATACTACATTTGTATCGAGGAAAAATCGAGCCCTGTGCAGCAACGTTCCTAACAAGTACGTACCATGTCGTAAATCCCCAAGAATATATATATATATAATTAATATAATATTTATATATATCAAAATATATACAATTGCTGTTGTAATAATTGCATCCACAACTTCACTTCAATAATTGGTCCCCTGGCCTGTGAGTTATTCAATGCACACGTTCTTGCATTTTCATTTATCGATCATGTACTTATACCAATCAATTGCTCACACACACTCACACAAATATTTTATTTTATATATATATATATATAGATAGAGAGAGAGAGAGAGAGAGAGAAGCACACACACATGCAAATAGATGTATGTATATGTATATATATATATCTTGCCCAATGCATGATCAGGCTACTCAACACAAGGACAAATTTAAATAAATTTCCACAGAAAATGCACCTGCAGTCTGTGTGCTTCAACTCTTATATATGTACTAAGTATATAATTATTTATTTATTTAAATATTAATCGTACAGGTGACTTAAGATGTAGTACTACTGATTTAATCAATCATAATCGATAGATATATATATGATCAGCCAGTGTGAGTGAGTTTGCAATTAATGGATGATAATTAATTCAATTAGTAATTGAATCCAATCATAAATTAAACTTCATATCTTTTCAACAGTACAGTACAGTACATATATATATATTTTCATCCCAACCATAATATAAAAAATTCTCAATCAACATAAAGCTGGTTTCAATTTAATATTTCAAATTAAACAAATTGTTACTATATATATATATATATATATATAGTAAGTAGAGGATGTAGTAATTTCTCTGAAAGCCTCAAATTCATAAATTAGTGAGTCATCCAATGAAGCAAGTGGCACTTAGTGCTTTGTGCTGCGTATGTGTATTATGCTCTGAGCATATCAGGTAATTAATATTTATTAATTTAGACTAATAATAATAATGATTACGATGATTATATAAGTAAATAAATAAATAATTGATATTGTAAACAATTGGAAGCCAGCTTAGCTTATTTATATTCGATATATATATATCTAATGAAGTAATGTTTGAGGTTTTTAATTGGCTAGCTAGCTAGCTAGCTAGGGTGGGTTGTTCATGTGGGAGACAGCCACACACTTCCAAATCTTTGACCCCTTAATTAGCTATTATTAATTTTAATTTTAATTTTTAATGTAATTAATAATTAAAAAAATAAAAATTGTAACTATTTAATAGTACTAGTATTACATGTGTACTATATTGAGCGCATCTCAAGAGGATATTATGTTCCCCATTTCTGCAACACACACCTTTGCTCAGATATTTGTACTGCATACACACATACATACATACATACATACATACAATTAATTAATTAATTAATTACATTGGCTACCAATCATCTATGGGCTTAAAGTTTAAGCTTTCGTGCCCCTTTTCATTACCATCTTATTAATTAATTACATAAATTTTATGATCAATTGTGTTGCTAACTGTCACATATGATTAATTAATATTCTTTGTAAATAAATGTTAGTTGGGGATTTCATTTATTATATGTATCGATCATAATTAGTTACATAGTAATAGTCCGTCCGCACAATAAATAGTAGTATATGTGATATCAATAAACACAATACAAATCAATTTACACTATGAATTGATAATATCTAATAATAATAATAATAATAATTCCAATAATATATATTAATTAAATTACAATCATATTCTGAAAAATAGTTATTCACGCTGATTAGTCCTAATTAACATTCTAACAACCGAATAACTATGTAATGATTAATTAGAGAGTATATTTCAAAACCTGTCGGTTAGCCCATATTTAATATATGTATATATGTCAATATTATAAACGTTTCTAAATTGAATCATCATTATTACTTGAAAACAGAATGCAACATCAAATCAGCAATTAATTTAATTTAATTAACCACCCGCTAATTTCGATCCACCATATAAAAAAATACAGTGTTGTGTTTGTTAGGGAGATTGGATTTAATTTTTACTATTCATCCCATTTTTTCTCACCAAAAACATCAAATCAAATACATATTTTTTATTTTTTTATATTATACTAAAAATTAATTTTACGTTCAAAACATCACATCAATACCTATTTATATCACATCATACAACTATTTAAATTCAAAATTTTTACTATTCAAATCTCAATTCAAAATTTTTACTATTCAAATCTCAACTCAAAATCCAAAACCCCGAAACAAACACACCTATTTGTTTTATAAACATCCCTTCATATATTATTTTAATATAAATTCAAACTAAATTTTTTTCCAAACTATTATTGAAAAAAAACACAACCATGATTTTATTTGTAAAGAGGTAGGAATTAGAGTAGTACACGTGTAGGTGATATGTATATATATATATATATGTGACGTTTTTACTTTTACAATAATTTGCTTTTTAATGGCATTCTTTATAATATTTTGTAGAATATATAAGTATTTTTATTAAAAAAATGTAATTACAAAAAAAAGAAAAAGAAAGAAGAAATAAATACATTGATGATTGACATACTAAAATGAAAAAAAAAACTATACATTAAGTATTAATGATGTATTGTATATATTGTTGTTTTTTATAATCTGAAATCTACATATGTTACTCTTTAAATGCATTTTGGATAAATTTTTGACCTGAGTCTAAGTATGTAAAGTAGATCAGGTAAAGTAAGTCAAGTTACACTAGGCGAAGTCAAATCATGTATGACGAACAAAGCCTCAAAATATCAGTAGTTTGAACCTATAATCTAACCGATCACGGGTACTAAATTGTTTTAGCAACACGTGTTGAATAACTATTACTAATGTATATGTGCATTAGTGATTAAAAATTAACAGTGTGATGTTTCCATTTCATTTATGGTAAAATTACATTTGTATCATTGATTAAATATTAGTGATATTTAGATTAGAAGCTATTTGGTTCACAATATTGATTAGGTCTATATAGCAGAACCCTAACCACAAAGATAATGAATATATTGATAATGAATATATGGTAAAATAAGATGGTGGTATATGATGGTAATTTTTTAGGTTAAACCGTTAAAATGTAAAAATATTTTATTATTATAAACATGTTGACTAAATTAAACTAGAAAATTGACAGGTAGTGTAATTATTTGATTTCATTGTAATTTTTCCTGTAATAATTTGCTCTCCACTTATGCCATCCAACGGACCATATTGTTATGTTTTTTGAGTCGAGTTTCTCCAGATTTTACTATTTGAATTTTGTATTTTTTTAAAAAAATATATTTTTCTTTTTCACAAAACATCCTTAAACATTATTTTCATATTAAACTTAAACCAATTTTTTTTCAAACTCATCAAAAAAAACGCATCCACGTATTGATGTACATTCCACAGGTCGTTTTTTAATATATATATATATATTAAAAAAAAAAAAAAAAAGAAAGAAAGAGAGAAACCCTATTTTATAATATATCTTTTCTCTGGAAAAGATAGCAATGGAAAAATAATATGATTCAAATTATGAAATTAAATAAAATAAATAGATTGGCGTGCAATAACCCTAATGTGCATTGGCTCAGAGTCATAATCCATACTTTATACTATGTAATTATTTACATGATGATTTTTGTAGGAGGACAAATGAAAATTGAAAATTTTGCCGAAAGCTTTTTACTGAGTTTTCCCTTTCTTTCTTTTCATTGATGGATGATAGTGAATTTATTTAATTTAATTTAATTTAATTTAATTTTATGAAGAGGGATATTAATTATATTATTGATTTGGTGGCCTGCATGCATCCTTTTCTTCATTTCCTTTTAGCTGAATGACAGGTTTGTGCAGATAATGGGGGATTCTGCCTTCGTCTTTATCCTCTTACTGTCTAATATGCATACACAATATTTTATTAATTTTTTTCACACCAATTATTGCTGCCTAGCTTCAATTGTGCAATGGAGAAATGAAGGCCTAAATATATGTATATATATAGTTTTAATTATCTTTGATGATTCATAAAAAAGAAATGGGCCCATATACATTTGATTATTGTCTGATTAAAGAATCTATTTAAAAGGAGAATGAAAAGGGCCCTTTATAAATATATACACATATAGACTAGTTGTATAGGTCAGAGATGATGATGTCCTAAAAATGCTACATTTTGACCGAGGACCAGTTCGTGCAGCTGCACCTATAAAACAAATTATACACACACACATATATATATATATATATGCATGAAAAACTAGATAAATTTTAATTAATTATAACAATTATGAAAGGGAGGCATTAATCAATTACTTAATCAACTAATTATATGTAATCTAAGATGATATGCAGTAAATGGATTTGCTTTCCTTAATGTCTGTCGTGATGGGCTTAATTAGCTTCCCAAGTAGGAAACAAATATGAACCCTAGTTAGTGATGGGAGTTTAAATTCCTCATTGATCATCGTCGATACATATTATATATATATATATATATTTGTGTGTGTGTGCAATTAATTTAATTTTATTTTAATTTAATTAATTAATTTGTTTTTATTTTTTTATATTGAGAAGGGTAGACAAAAGCAAAGGGAGTCAACCACATGGTGACCCTTGATTGAGGCCACAAATCACATGGCAATAGTGAAATAAAATGAGTTTGTCCATCACTATACAAGGTGAGAATTGGAAAACTACGATTGACACCATTCAACAAATATATATATATTATTTAATTTATTAATGTTGATTACCCTAATTTAATATAAGATATACACATATATGCATGTCACTATAGCCTAGCGTGGGGGCACACACACACATTATATGCATGTACATATATATATATATATATATATAGGAGAGGATAAACCATTAACATAAAGTTGAAAACATGACAAGATGGATCAAAAGTATTAGGACGACCAAATTACAATAATAATGATCATAATTAAAAACTACAAATTCTTGTTTCCATTACATATTTATTATTATTAATAAGTTCTTTTGACCCTCAAGATTTGATTCTCTAAAGCATTAATGTTGGTTTGGATTAATTCAATTTATCCTCACCATCAATTGCAATCCACATTTCATGCATAAGTGTATTGCCCTTTCATGTATACACACATATATATATATATATATATATTTATATGGATAATATATAATACTAGTGTTTAATTTGTTATCTAGATTAGATGGATCATGGTTGTGCGTGTGGCAATTGAATTAGGGTTTTAGAGAAAGCTAGTGTTCATTTATTGGCACGAACATGATGGATATATCGATGATATGGAGATAAAGAAACCTTTTAGCCCATCCCTTGATGTTGGGGATTGGCAAGACGATGGGGCCTCTTGCTTGCCATTGGGGGGGATCATCGATCGATTGATCGATCGATCGAATATCCATCCATCGTGCATTCGACTACGAAATTAAAGTAAATTAATATCGATCTATTTTAGACAACATTATTATGAACAAAAACTGATCACATGGGAGAGGTGCATATTCCTGCCTAGCTAGCTACTCTTTCTGGTTCCCCCCTTTAACAAAATAATTGCAGATTGTAATTTTAAAATTATATATATGTATGTATGTATGTTTGTGTTCCTAATTTGAATTGTTTTGTTTTCTAAATTGAAATGGACTTTGTAGCATATGTGGAATAGCAATGAGCCAGGGAATGTGGGGAACACATTCATGCAGAGGTTGAAGAATGTACATGCACACACACACACACAAACAAATAGTATATTATATAATTTGGTGTTGACAAGAACCCCATTAGATACAGTGCTTGTAAAAGGGAGAGTGGACCATTGCCAACTGCCAAAGTGGAAAGATTTTTCAGGGCAGTGTAGAAGACACCCTCTAGTCTCTAGATAGTGCTTTGACCCCAGCTCCCTATATGCGTTGGATAATATAATAGGTGTTCTGTGTTATCATGTTTAATTTACTTTACTGGAGAAGCAAAAATTTACGAAAAATATAATTAATAAGCAATTAAGAGTGCACCGGATATGAGCAATAATTATGTCCATCATCAACAATATATCTATATATATATATATGTAATCTGTCTCCCTCTCCCCCTACGTGCATGTGGGATTTTAAATTTTAAAATTATCAAAAAAATAAAATAAAATAAAATAAAATCAGAAAGATCCAAATATAATTTACTTGTTGAACAAAATGGGCAAATTAGTCTTTTACATAATGATTAATCCCATTGCTTTTCTGATTCACTATGTGTGGGTATGTATGTAACGATATACTACGAAGACTACAATAATGAGAGTGGAAACAGTATCTGCAACAGCACTGCATGGTTTGAAAAATTGCAGAAAGAATGAATGGGATTGAAAAGACGAAGTGACATGAAAATATAGAGTGAGAGAGACCCCACGTACGTGTATCTCTTATTTAAGTGTAAATGCAACTGAAGTCATAATGTGTCATGTCGACAGTCTACTCAATGCTGCGAAAACTATACTACAATTATATTTTCAATTTTGTCATTTTGATATGTCACACTAAATAATACTAGTTTCGTCCTAATCCAATAGTTTTGTTTATCATTTTTGTCTATATAATAGTTTTATTTTTATAAATAATTATATCACCATAAAATTATTTCTACTTTTATTATAATTATTACACAATTGTCATTACTTTTTACACTAATATACTCACACGGGCAAAAAAGTCATTTACCCTTACTTTTTACCAACTATTAATATAATATCAATATTTTTTAAATTTCGTGTCCAACACAATAAGATTATACTTATCGTCCTAAAGTATACTTACACGATTTTTTAAGTGATTATTTTTTTTTGTTATGAATAGACAAATTTGTCATTAATTGTATGGTAGAGATTAGAATTAATAAATTAATAAAAAATAAAAATATAAAATTTATATTTAAAAAATAAAATAAGATAATAATTATTGAACGTTGAAAATAAAAAATAAATAAAACATTAATTTATGATAAGAGAGAATATATATTTTTTTAAACATTTCTACTAACCTAATAAATCTATTACAAAAAGGCCTTTAGAGTGAAAAAGAGAAAGTACAGTACAATTTTTCATTTATCACTTTTTATTTTTTCTTGTCTATCAACAATACCTTTTATTTTTTCTTGTCTATCAACAATACCTCTCCATACTGTTCCCACCTCCTCCAAACACCATCACTATCCCTACTGCCCACACCAAACCATACATACATATAATTTCAGTCAGTAATATAGAGGAGATATTTCTGGTTATTTTATCTACAGATGACAGCTTTAATAATAATAAATAATAATAACAATAATAATGTGGGCATTATCCACAAATTTTCTCGTCATTGAAACGGACACTTAATATTTCATAACTGGGCCATACGTGGGTCAAATGGACCGAAGAACAGCTGTCTTCTTGGCCCAATGTCATCTGAAATTTATCCCATGATGTGTCCATCACATTGATTTTTTCTTTTTCTCCATGAGTTTGGTGGGGAGACTTCAAACTTTAATGATCAAATTTTTAATTTATGTAATAATAACAATAATAATAATATACACCTATCAAAAGGAACAAAAAGAAGATCCACAGGAACAAGGGGGAAAAGAAACGAAATGAAAGATGGAATAAAAAAATCAAATATATATATATATATAGATTTTATTTTTTTCAAAAAAAAATCAGAAATCAAATGGGCACCATAAAGTAACGGGCCCCCAAACGCCAGAACAATTAAAAGATGGGCAATTAGGGGGTGACAAAATGGACGAACAGGGTGCATTCACCTGGTCCATCCAAAATAGACAACATTGTCTTCTTCAGACATCAAGAATCATCCCTCCCCCCTGTTGATTTGATTGATGCCTGCCCTTCCCATCACACATTTTCTCACAATACAACCAAGATAATGATGTAAACCCCCCCCCCCCCCCCCCCACCCCACCCCTTCCCATCACCAATTTTTCACAAGATAATGATATGCGAGCTTAGATCACATCGCACACTATTACCAAATGAACCAAATAGAACTTACTACAACTTTAAATAAAAAAGAAAAAAAAAACCAAGAACTACCATTCCCAGTTAAATGAAGAAGCATTTCCAGAACTCTTTCATCTGACAGCTGACAATCCATGGAGGAGATGGCAATTATGATCAATCTACCACATGAGGTGTAGACCCTGGATGCATAAAAACATGGCCGATTATTAATGGGATACTGCTGTCCTGTCTCAAGGAACATTTTTAACACGTGGCAGAAGCAGATAGCAAGCCGAAGAAAGGCTATAGTAATACATACTTGGTGCATCTCGAACCACAGCTTCGGAACTTCAAGAATCCCCATGTTATAAACAGCACCAATTAATAGTCACTGTATGTCAGAAATCCGGCCCCTTTTGAAGTTACTTTAGTAGATCATTTTACAGCTGAGGAATGGGGCTGGTTGACGGTCACACCTTCCGAGTGTTACTTCAGTTTTTGGTGGAAAACCGAGACCTCTCCTTGCCAGCTACAACAAGCTACGATGTCGGGCAAAATAGGGTGGAATACGATATCTATGCATGCTTGTTCAAAGGCCTTGACCTTTTTCATAAGTTTGGACGTTTTGGAGTTATAGAAGTAGATGCATCCATCGTTGGATCCGGAGGCTACAACTTCTCCATCCAAACTGAAATTGCATTTGATAGGGAAACCTGAAACGCCGTGACCTTCGTATCTCTTGTACTTGTCTAGTTTGTAGGGGGCTCGGGTGGAGAATATAGCCATGTAATTCCCATTGGATTGAGCAATGAAATATGGCTCAAATGGGTGGCGTCGTATACATGGGCATGTGTACGCTTCTGCATAGACCTGAGAAGTTCAAAAGAGAAATAGTTAACGGCCTGATTTCACAAGTATAGATAAACATGAATACAGAAGCGCACGCCAAAGGAAAAAGAAATAAAAGACTTAGAGAAGCAAAGCAAATCTAACGATTTTGTGCTGCAACAGTTAAAAGGGTTCAATTCATGTAGAATAGTATACAAACTAATGCGAGAAAGATGTGCTGCAAGCTAGAACACATGAACTTTACCTGATTTGACAGTGGAACTTGGCGCGATACATCCCAAACTAAGATTGCATTTTCACTGAGGTTACTTCTCGACACATCACTTGATGTAATTAGATGCTTGCCATCAACTGTGAACTCTACATCAAGGATTGGGCCTAGATTACGTATGTATTCATGCACCACAGTGCCAGTCCTAATATCCCACAGTTTAAGGCGACCCTTTGATCCACCTGAGAGGAATAAATTGTAGTTGTTTGGTGAAAATTTTACAACTTCAACAACTTGATCCTCCTTGAAAACGTGAGTCTCTATTCCCTTTTCAACATCAACCAACCTTGATGTGCAATCATAGCCACACGAGAGCACAGACAATCCTTGTGGAGACCAGATCACATCTTTCACTGCCGCATTGTGGCAATTTAATATACGTGCCTGCCTTTTACTACTACTCCACACATTCCATATGCGAACAGTATGATCCATTCCCGCGGATGCAATAAGATGAGCTGAAAACTACATAGGTAAGATTAAAAGTTCACAGCATGAAAGTAGCTGGAAATTCTATAAGCAGGTCCAATAGAGGTACATCCACACAAGCACTTACTTAACTACAGTATCAAATCAAGTAAGCAAAATGGTAAAAATGAAATTGTTAAATTACATGTAATCTGTAAATTCACAAACATATTCTAGCTTGTTAGTTGACTGCTGAATTGCTGATCAAACATTTTCTAATGATGTCTGTACCAAAGGAGGAAAAAGACATCTTAAATTGTAATCAGACCTACATTGTGGTTTGCAAGATACTCCTTAAATCAGTTTCTTCAATTCATAAACGCTCCATTGCAATTTTCTGATAAACCAGGCTTTGTCCAGAGATGTAATTTTGGAGGGGTAAGTGTATATATCATAATAGTAGTATCCGAATAGGCTTTGTCCAGAGATGTAATTTTGGAGGGGTAAGTGTATATATCATAATAGTAGTATCCGAATAGAGTTATATTAATAATTTTTTGCATATTTGTACATCATTAAATTATAGAATATATGAATTAGATGCACTGTATTATATATATATATATATATAAATGTGACATGTCCCTGTACATACCGATATTATCTTGATAATGTAATGCCTGAGTAATTATATGTTATGTTATCATTCATAAATAACAGAACTATTATGTTAAGTATTACATGTTACTAGAAGCGAAAGAGGACAAAACTAAGGAAACAATATATAGCAGAATTTCAGTTTTAGCAGATATGACACCACATGCTAGTTACATATCCTAAAAACAAATGTTAGTATTATATCGGCACTGCTAAATATATCAGATCCCAACATCAAATACAACTACAAGTTGACTCATATCAGATATTGAAATAAACTCTGATGACAATTATTATGATGGCAAAGATAAAGTACTTACAATGACTTCCAGACCACTGCACAGCATTGACAGCCTTTGTGTGTCCATTGAGAGCTGCAGAAAATTCCTGAGGTGTCTGGTTCGAAACTACACCACCCTTAACATGATGCCTCAATATCTTCAAGATACTGTGCGGTACATCAGAATCCAAAAGACTTCCTAAAAATTTTGATAGAAAATTGTTTCAGGATGGTCATGTTAAATAACAGAAACTCCTTAAATATATGAGAATACAAAAAATGTATATGAACTTCCAAATATTTCTTTACAGTAATACTAAAACTTCGGGAAACACCCACAGTAAGGTTGCCTAAAGGACAGGATATGTTCACAATGACTAGAGATATTTCTGCTAGATCATAGATCACATAAATGAGCAACTCAAATCGGCCGTTAAGAATGCACGCATACATCCAAGTAAACCAGTATCAAACTTTGCATATATGAGGTCAATAACGCGACTACAAATTGTGAATGCAGAAAACGCAACGCAACCAAGTGATGGGAGTGCAATTCGGTTATTAATCGATTAACGCCATACATATTATTTAGTTGTAATTCATATCCATTCATAGCAAGTTTAGAAGTTTGAGTACTGAGAAGCCAACAATACTAATGGCAAAACCAGCTAAAAAGAATGTATCTAAAAATTTGATCGTATCATTTCACAGGGAGAATCGAAGCAGACCTGGCGAAGGATTTTGCGTGGTCAGGTTTTTCTCAGCTACGGTTGAATCGACAGAAAGGGCTGCTCTTTGTCGCTTCGATATGTATCTTCCTGGCATCGGAGCTTCGGGAGGGAGAGGACATCGATAAACTGGCATCGGCTGTTCAAGTAATACTTCAGGCCTCGACCGCTTGTGTTGAAGCGGCGGCGGCGGCGGCGGCGGCAAGGAATTCCAGGTTCTGGATCCTTTACTATCGTCAACGTCGTCGTCGTCGTCGGAAGCCGTTGCGTACGCCTTGGAAAGAAGATCCATTGAAATTGGGCTCACTTCGCGCCCTCCAGACGACGTTCTTATAGTATTTGCAGATTTGGGCCTGATGGACCTATCGGCCCATTTTTATGTTAAGCCTCAGCAGCCCATTTATAAGATACCTTGTAAAAATACCTTACCTTTCTACATTATGATAACAAAATAAATCATATGTCTCTTCACCAAGATTAAGTGATTTTCTGTGTGTTTGACGGGGAATTTTGTCAAAATATAATGTACTATTATTTGACTTTTTGTAATGATTTTTTTGACTCTTTGTAATGACTTTCTAATTTTGTATAATGATAATTTGAAGGGTTTTTTTTTTTTTCTTACTTTTACTTTTGCATAATATACGTATTTTTTATAATTATTGTTTGGAAATTGGAAATTAAAAAATAGTGTTGAGAAAGTACAGCGACATTTTTACTCACTATTAATTTGATATAATATTTTTCGTCTCAACTTAAAGTATATTTTTACTATTTGGGTTCGTTTCTCTCCAAAATATTTCTTTCAAGCTAATACCAAAATATTCGTAACTTTTACTTAAATTACAAAAATATAATTACAATAAATTATCTTTTACATAAAATCAAATGCAAAAATGTCAAAACCTCTTATATATTTTCACTAACTAATAAAATACTAGTAATTTACAATAAAATTCCAAAGGCCCATTTGGACCAAAAAGAGAGAGTATATATTAATAATTTAATATTTAAATTAATTGTGTTTTTAAAAATATATAGAATATATTTATTTTTTCAATAGTAAATATTTGATAAAGAAAATATATATATTTGAAGTTGGGTCGTTTTTAGAAATAAAAATAAAATTACTATCAATTAACAATATCATTGTGTTTAATATTTTTTTTCTTCAAATCTAACTAAAATTTATTATTTATTATTTTTTTTTTTTTTTTTTTTGTAGATTTTCTCTTAAATATATAAATAATATTTATATTCTCTTTCATTAATCAACCTTGAAATTGACAATCAAGTCTTTTTTTTTTATTATTATTATTACAAGCTGGTCCTTTTAAAATTTTAAAAAATTATTTCCCCAATTATTATTATTATTTTTTTAAAGTATGACTAGTTATAATTTTTTATTTTTTATAATCTAAAATAAATATATATTTAAGATTTCATATTTAAACACCCTAAAATTATTCTCATCCAATTCTAAAAAATAAAAATTAGAAGCATCAAACTTCAAAGTAGTCTAAAACATGATGGGGCTTGCTTAGCCCATATATTTTTCTAACCCAACAATTTTATTTTCTACCACTAGGCCCACAAGATAGAGCATTATTTATAAACACGTTTTTCAAAATTTTATCATTATTTGTTAATAGGAATTTTTTCACAATAAAAATTACATCAAATATTCAAATTGAATAAAATATGAATCTATGAGTGGATATAGTTCAACTATGTACAAATTGACAAGTATTTGGTATTCGAATCAAATTGAATAAATATTCAAATTTGTAAATTTTATTTAACTGAGCATTTTGATTAACAAAATTTTCAGTTAACAAAAGAGATTTGCATTATTTGGAAATAGTTCAAACTGAAATAAATATAATAAATATTCAATAAATCATCAAAATTTTGATTAATCATATTCGCAAAAATTTCAAATCAAATTAGACCGAGTTTAATTATTTACATGATTATATTTTAAAATGTATAAAAAACACACATATTATATATATATATATATATATAAAATATTATTAATATTCATATTAGCATATTTGCACAATTTAGGATTTGTTCTTTTTAGTTATTTATTTATAGATTTTTTTAATATGCAATCTCCTAATTTTTGTTCAAAAACATCATATTTAATTCTAACTTTTTATACAAAATATATGACATTGATCAATATTTATTTCATTTTCAATATAATAATAATTATTTTTTATTTTTATTTTTTAAAAAAAAAACTCCGAAAAACCACTCCCTTAATGCCTATTAACCCATAAAATTATTTTGACCATTAAATCTTAATTCTGTAATATTTGTTGGTGACATTGAAAATTGATTATAGATTCACTATAATTGGCGTTGTGATTTAATTTGGAAGAATAAAAGGTAAGTGTGTGAAGCAAGATATTCAAGAAATGATTAAACAAAAAATAAAATCGAAAAAAGTTAATGATTTAAATTATGATCTAGAGACCATAATGTGTCGCCAGATTTTATTGATCCTTTTTGTACATTATTTGTTTGTTCTTATTGTTACTCATAAATCATAATTACCCATCCCTTGTCTCATGCCATGTCATCTTGGCATTATCACTAGATATATATATATATATATATAAACAAGAAAAAGATGCACACCACGTGCTGCACAACTCTCTAACTTTGTATATAAATAAATTGTCACTATAACAAAGTGGGCTAATTAAATACCACTCCATATCAATAATGTAGCATATATATATATATATAACACATGATTTCGTCGTGTGCTTGAATCTGTATAATTTAAATCAATCATATTTCAATCACTGAATATAAATAAATAATTTGAATTATTTATAAAACTCATGTGTTAATAATAAAATTCTATGCATATAAAACATATTTTTAATTAATGTTCAGAGTATATTCAGTGCTAAAATTGTTACTAATATAATTCAATAAAGAAACAAAAATAAAATCCAATGCATTACATTACATGACTACATACACATATTCAATACCCTGGTGTTATATTTAATGAAAATTAATTAATAATTGCAAATTAGGGAGATTAATTCCATTATAATATCTAAATATCTAATTAATTAATTAATTAATTTATTAATACAGCAAAAAATAATCAACGCCTACACCGAAGCCGACATGACATCATCCTCAGTCAGCAGAAGAGTCAATATGATGTCCAAAATTATTCCACCTGAAATATATATATAATGTGAATTGATCCTTGACTTAAACAAGTGATGCATCTGTGTCTGTGATTCTGACAGCTCACATTCTCTCCATTATATATAAATAATAATCACTCAATAATTTATAATCATTCTCTAATGGTTTCGAACCTGATCCCTACCTCAATATTCCATTAATTTTCCAGTTTGCAGAAATATCTTCTGCATAAATTCTTCCCCCTTCTATTATTATTATTTTTTTAAAAATATCTTCAATGTTTTCATTATTTTTTTGAGTCTATTCTACTTTTTTTTTCTACAATATATTAGCGTTACGTGGAACATAATGACAATTCCTTAGAAGTAAACCTTGGAATGATGAAGTGTGAGGTTGCCGGATTGTACGCGGGGTGTGTCTTTTCCTATAGATATATATATATATATATTTATTTATTTATATTTTAATAACATTTCTGGTTGACCTCAATAAAGTGTATATATATATATATAATCAATAAAATATTTATTGGTACTATAATTATTTTAGAGCCATGGAATGGAATGGAATTCTCCATTCATTGACACCCCAAGACCATAGCTAGCCCATCAATTTTGTCAGCTTTACTCACACTGTTTCAAATCCTCAATTCAATAATATAGTATATAGATATACATACAATGTGTGTATGTATATGTGTTGTGTGTGACATGTTTCTCCAGCAGCCATCACTCCTCGTTGAATGATTTGCACCTCTGTCTCCTTTGTCATCTTCTGCACCTCATCATTCTGTCATTCTTACGTCACGCCCTGCATATATTACTCCTATTTAAATTAATTTTTTTTTAAAAAAATATTCGACCGAATATTTATTACAAAGTACTCCCTCTGTTTCATATACCATGTCCATATTGTCGTTTCAGTCCGTTCCATATATCATGTCACTTTCCTTTTTTAGAAAATGATTATACATTTTAATCTCATTTTAAACTTTTTAATTTTATTTTATTTTAAATTTTAATTAAACTAATTAGTTATTTTAATCTTAATTTATAATTATTTATATTATAGGATAATTATTTTCAGTAATATATTCTTAATTATCTGTTAGTTACACATCTCCTAAAATATACCGTGTCTATAGTGTAACAGACACACGATATGTGGGACGAAAGTAGTATCATATTTAGTATTCCATCCATTTCAAGTCAATATTATAATTAATTATTTTTTATTTTAAAATTTGTAAGATATTTGAAACAAATATATATATATATATTATAAAATATTTAGGACGAAGTAAGTATTTATTTATATTATATAAAATACTTAATTTTTTATTTAATATTTTACTGCTTACAAAATTCTTCAGATTTTAAAAAATTTTAAATATACTCTATTAGTATTTTATTTGTGTGTATGAGAGAGAGTGCGTGAGGGTTGGTAGATTGAAAGTTTTAGTTCATTATGCATTTTTAATATAATCTATCAAAAATAATAATGATGATTGAATATGATTTGAATACATTGGACTAAGCAATTAATTGTATATATAATATATGTATGCGATAATATGAATATGAATGTTGTACTGGTCATCATGGTGTGGTAACCGTTAATTGATTAAATAATGGTAGCTATTTATTATTAATTATGGTATTTATTTAAGTCCTATTTACATATAAAAAAATAAAATAAAATAAAATAAATTATCATTTTTTATTAAGAGCAATATTTATAATATATTAATCTTAGGTGTAAAAAATGGAGAAAGTTTTCAATATTTTGGTCAACACAAATTACAGTAGAGTCTCAAACAATTCTTGCACGATGTGCGGCAGAATAGGCAAAATGCATTAGGGCTACAGACACAGTGCCATAATCTGATAGGGATGTCAAAAGAGCCGGGTTTAGCCCCGGATCCGCCCCGGATCCGTTTTTAATGGGGCGGGTTCGGATCTAAATAATATGTTTCGGGGAGGGTTGTGGATTTAAAATTTTAAACTCGGCCGGGTTCGGGGTGGGTTACGGGTTTTACTAAAAACCCGCTCCAATTCGGACCCAGACCCGAACCCGGATATTTTTTAAAATTATTATAACTAATATATATGT